CAGAGGGGTTACAATTACATGGGCAGGATAATGCATACATTTCTTACCAAGCATTGCAGCCTCCTCCTTTGTTTACCCTTCACATCCCTTCCCTACCTCCCCCCTACCTCCCCACCACCCAATCCTCCCCCTCCCCCCCACTCCTGAACTTCTTAACTTCCAAAACCATATATTCCTTATAAACTACCTCTTAACTTCCAGATCACTATATTCTTTACAAATTACTTCTTAGCTTCCAGAACATTATGTTCTTTAAAACCTACCTAGTTTTAGATATTTTGTTATAGTAACAGAAAACAGACTGATACTATGTTTGTAACTTCTTTTCAAAACAGTGGAAAGAATGTATATCACCTATCAATAGCTAGCTATAGGTAGATAGATAGATAAATAGATAGATTAGATAGATAGTTATACCTACATATATACAAAGAGAGAGGGGGGGACAAATATTAATAATGACTAACCTAGATTAAAGACACATCAATGACTCCTTGTATCATTCATTAATTGTAGGTTTGGAAAAGCTTTTAATAAAAAAAAATTTAAAAGCCAGGTGCCAGGTGGCTCATGCACGTAACTCTAGCTACTCAGACAGCTGAGATCTGAGGATCGAAGTTGAAAATCATCCCAGTCTGGGAAGTCTGTGAGATTTTATCTCCAATTAAACACCAAAAAGCTGGAAGTGGAGATGTGGCTCAAGTGATAGGGTATTAACATTGAGCAATAAAGCTCAGGGGCAGTGCCTAGGCCCTGAGTTTAAGCCCCAGAACTGGAACAAAAAAAATAGAAAAATTGTATCTATAGTCTTGTGGGTTTTTTCCTTGAATTATCTTTAAGCAGTTGTACAATTCAAGTTTGTGAGTGCAATGCTCACAACTCCACCCCAACTCCATCCCAAACCATCAATTTTCCTGGCTCCACTTTCATAGATGTACATTTACCCATTCATCCTCTCTCCTGTCTGTCCCTGCACCTTTAAAATGTTATTCATTCCATTTCTTAGTGGGAAACATTTGCATACTGTCCAATTGTCCATTAAAAAAAACTAATAAGGAAAGTTTGGAGCATAACTTTATAATCATGGCCAAGTTCACTTGCGGATCATTTTTATACATTCATTTGTAAACTCTAATAAGGCGTTTTAGGGCTGGCTGTTTCATGTTTTCTCCTGATGGGGCCCTTCCTGTTCTTCTTGCCATTGTGTTTCTTCTTATGGCAATTGTTGTCTTTGCCATGTTCCTTGGCTGCTTCAGCTCGCATCCACTGCTTAATAGTGAGACTATGTGGGCTGACGCAGACTCTTCTGCGCTTCACATGAAGGCTGCCAAGAAAGGAAGATAGTGATCACTGATGGAAAAGACCGATCACGATGCCCTCTACACATAAATGCATCATTGAACTCTTTGAAGATGACAGTGAAAGCAAATAAATAAAAGACAAAAAAATACAAGCACCCACAGCATAGTGATGTAAAAACAGCCCCACTTCTGGACACAGCATTCTTAGGGAGTACACTCTAAAGCCGAACATCAGGAATGTCAGTTTTGACTCTTCCCTGTTGCTGGAGTCCTGAGACATCAACAGACAGTATCAAAAGGAGGAGAAAGAGGTAAAAGTGGTAAGAACAAACAAAAAGAAAAAAAGAAGAAGAAGCAGAATAAGGAGCAAGAGGAAAAAGAGAAAAACAAACTATAATATAAATAAATAAATAAACACAGAACTAGCTGGGCAATGGTGGCTCACGCCTATATTCCTAGCTCCTCAGGAGGCTGATTTCTGAAGATCACAGTTTCAGAGCCAGACCAGGCAGGAAAGTCCGGAAAACTCTTATCTCCAATACACCACCAGAAAACCAGAAGTGGCACTGTAGCTCAAGTGGTAGAACGTTAGCCTTGAGCTGAAGAGCTGAGGGCAGCACTGCCCAGGCCCAGGATTCAAGCCCCACAACCATAAAAACAAAACAAAAAACAGAACTAGTCTCTTCCTTGCTCAAGCTTTATCTAACAAAATCCATCTCATTCTCATGACCCATCTCAGACACTGCTGGCATTTCTGAATCTTCTGAGCTCTTCTTTTTCCTTTCAGTCTCTATGGTGAGAGTTACTTCTCTCCTGGCACTTAGTTTAATAAACATAGTTTAGTACTATGTTTTTTATTTAGATTTGTTTTTGTGTTTGATTTACTATGTTTTTGATTCATTACATCTCTCCTTCTAAAATGATACTCTTTGAGGAAGGAATAATCTTTATTCACAGTAGGAACTGTAATTCATTGCAGATATAAAGTGAATGTTCAACAAAACAATGCACTAAAATATTTTGGGGATATTAAAGCTTAAAATAATATAGATTTATACCACAGCTCAAAATTTATTTTCTTTTTTGTCTTTATTGCCCCATCATACACATCCATTAATCTTTTTCTCTCTTTTTTATTAGTGCGTATCAATTCTTTTTTTGGGTGGGGGTTCCTGTCATGGAGCCTAAACTCTGGGCCTGGGCGCTGTCCCTCAGTTCTAGAGCTCAAGGCTAGTGCTCTACCACTTGAGCCACAGTGCCACTTCCAGCTTTTTTCTTTTTGCTTATGTGGTGCTGAGGAATCGAATCCAGGGCCTCAGGCATGTAAGGCAAGCGCTCTACCACTGAGCCACCTTCCCAGCTCCTAGTGCATATTAATTCTGCATAGGAGTTTTATTCAGATATTTCCATATATCCATATAATGTACTTCAATCAAGTTTACCCTATTATTCTTTCTTATCCCAGTCTCTCTCATTTTTTATTTTATTTTTTTTTGGTCTGTCATGGGGCTTGAACTCTGGGCCTGGGTGTTGTCCCTCAGCTCTTCAGCTACCACTTGAGCCACAGTGCCACTTCTAGGTCTCTGGTGGTTTATTGGAGATAAGAGTTTCATGGACTTTCCTGCCCAGGCTGGCTTTGAACCATGATCCTAAGATCTCAGCCTCCTGAGTAGCCAGAATCTAGAATTACAGGCGTGAGCCACTAGCGCCTGGCTTACAGTCTCCCTTTTTTAAAAACCAATTTGAATGGGTGCTGAATTCTATCTTTATACATGTTTATAAACATGTTCCCTCTCTTTACCTTTTCCTTTCATCCTCCCTTACCCCCCCGATCCCCACGCCCAAAGTCTTTTTTTTTTCTTTTACATGTAGTTCTTTATAGTTTTCAGGGCATTTTTATATTTCACATGATCCTTACAACAACCTCATAAACTAGGCAAGATATGAAAATTATATTTTACAGTCCAGGCAGCTGAGTATAGCAGGGACTGAACTGATGGGCTCCATTTTGAATCCATCCGTCATCTTTTGGAGAGCCTCCATCTAAAGCCTTCACAGAAATGTTGTAAAGCACTCCTGAGGCCAGATTGTCCTAAGGAGTGCTGGCTTGCACAACAGTTTGAACAGGTTAGTTCCACCTAAAAGTGTGGTTATTCCACCTACATGTTGCATTCTGTCCAAAAAGGATGGTACAAGACAGGGTCTTCAGTTATTGACATAAATAGTCATCATAGGACCATGAGAGAAAAAATCAAATGATAGTTGGCTGCCAGAAATAGAAACTTCTACTTGTCTTATCCGCAAGGGAACTTGATATTGCAATTGCTCAAGAGGCCATGTTTTATGGGGCTGTGTTCCATTGTTCTTACCATGTTTACTACATCCTAAAAACAACTTACAATTGCCTATATCCATATTTCATAACCTGCTTGGAATCATCCATCTTTACCACCCCTAGCACTGCTCTCCATATAGGACAACTCATGTGGGCAGAAAGAGATTGTCCAAGTAAAGGGTCTTCTAATCGTTAGGGGCTTCCCTCCCAAAGCAAACTTATGACTGGAGGACACACTTTGTGGCCATATGTCTGCCAACATAACTGTTATAATCCCTTACATTACCTTGCTCACAGTTTCCAAGTCAGAGACTTGGCTAGGTGAACCAGCTTTCACTGGATGTGTTAACGAAAACAACAAAGACGGGCCTCTTCCATTGTATGAACAGAAATGCATGAGACAAATGCGTTTCTTCTGTTAGTCTACCAATTAGGAAAATAAGTGATCAACAAAACATGTGACCACTTGTCTTCCAAAAGATAGGTGAAAAGGACTAACAGGAATTTTGTGCTTTCCTAATTATAAGTCTTAGCACATCCACCCTCATTTGACCCACATACAAGCCACTGAGAGAGACTGCACAGGTGTTCTTCTCAACTAATGAATGAGCAAAGCAAATCTCAATGTGTTCAAGCTTCAACATTTAGTAACTAGGAAGTGGCGCTGTAGCTCAAGTGGTAGAGTGCTCGCCTTGAGCTGAAGAGCTGAGGGACAGTGCCCAGGCCCAGAGTTCAAGCCCCACGACCGACAAAA